GCCCGCCACCGTTAACGCGCTCTCGTCGGCCACGCGCGGGCTCTTCCTGAGGTTTTGGAGGTTCCGTCGGAGTACGGACAACATCCGCAACATTTCAGTTTTTTTTTTCCTGGTGTGAAGAAGGTGTGGAGTCAATGTGTTGTGTGATGAGGAAGGAGAGAGGCCATGGGGCTTTTTAAGGGTGGTGGGATTTGCAAGTGGGATTTGCAAGTTGGGGAATGCTTTTTATGGTGCTTGTGTTTATCATGGAAATTTTTATTTTATTTTTTAATTTAAAGAAAAAATACTCTTATTTTTTCCTTTAAATATGCAAAGACATATCATACCAAACAAAAAACAGTTTATCCTAAGTTGGGTTTGCATCAATTTGATAGTGACTAATACTATATAGCAAAGATTCCCAAAAAAAGTAAAAAATACTCAAAATTAGCAAAATAATACGGAAAACCCAACTTATACATGTCCATATATATAACTTTTGATTCTGTATTAAAAACAGACTAAAAATACATTCTATAAGTAACATATAAGCAATCCATGACAAATATAATGTATAGATAGATATACATGTTAAAATAAGAAAATAAATATGTGATTGAAGAAAATATATAGATTTTGATATATGATTGGAAATAATGATGAGGTATTTTATTTATTTCTATTTTACTTAAATTTTTTTTTATATTTTATTAATTAATTTTTCTATATATATAAAAATAGAAGAGATTTCTTTCTTTCTTATTTAATTTATCCAATTTTATATTTTCACAGCACATACGCATGCAAAAGTGGAGGAGTTGCGTGAGGGGGGGGGAATGGATAATAAAGTCAAATGAGCGTTGACTTCTCTTGTCCTCTATGGTCATAAAGTCGTTGACCGGTCAAGATAGACTCCACTCACGAGTCACGACCCTCCCGATCACGATCATCATATGTCAACTATCTTTGTTCAGAATCTGGTCCGAAAACCTGCACCGAGAAGATAAAGACAACCAATTTTCTTTTTTTTTTGATGAACGGTTAACATGTAATAATATTCTGTAATTAGTTCCATCTACAAAAATCGGACGTATGCCGATATAACCACAAGATGATCACGCCCATGCGAATGGAAATAAGACACCTTACAAACAAAAGGAAGAGACGACCCACATGGGTGTGGTCCAGCCGCTATTGAGGATGTCAAAGACACCCCGAGGTCGTCTGTTCGATCTTCGATGCAGGGAGGGAGAGGCGCATTTAAAATTTTCGTATTCAAAGGTTGCTCTCGGATCTAAGAGATGTAGGTTGAATCGAAGATCTAGGTGAACTTCCCCATTGACCACAAAAAAAAAAAAAAAAAAAAAAAACCGTGATCAATACTTCAATAGCAGCTAACGTTGCGGCAGAATCAGATGGTACCAATCGGCAAGCAACCCAGACTGCAGCGTTCGTGAGGTGCCCAAAAGGGAGTGAATGGGTGTTACGCACCATATTGCCTAGGGCCATGACGGATTCCTCGAACAACCTCGAATTGCGCTCCCGTCAAATGAGCTATACAACACTCACTCTGTGTCAATACCTTAGCAAATAGGCGACGATGACGGGACTGGTCATTCCCCGAAGCATTGATCCACTCAAAACCAACTTCGATAGGTACGAATTAATAACTAGATGGTCGGTAAATGAACGGTGAGATATCTTGCGAATAACCCAATAAAAATGATAAAATGCGTATATAAATATATAAAACTAGGTGGTTTATTAATCTCTCATTTTTACGAGATATCAACTTGTCATTAAAACTAATTTTACACATACAATCAGAGCAGTTAAAAGATAGTTCACAATGTAATGTATGTACAATTTAGTATTATTGGTTCACCAATATATGATTATTAAAAATAGTCCATCTCCATGTTTAGAATCCTATATAAATGGTTATGGTAAGTTGATGGAATACGTAGGATGGAATATGGAGTATGTAAGGGTGACCATTTTGGTTATTATAACTAAATAGTCGAATTGAATCAAACCGAATAAGATATAACCGTAAACGAATTCGATATAAAAATTGAATGGTTATAACTTTCTTAAACTCTAGAAGTCGAAACCGAACTGAACCTATTAAAAAATAACTAAAAAAACTGATTTTTTTTAAAAAAATGAGTTTTTTATAACAAAAACAGAACCGACCCAAACAAAACCGAAATTCAGATAAAACCGATTGGTTATAATTTTTTTATAATCAAAATAACCGAACCGAATATCACCAAACCGAAACCCGAAATGATCACCATAATTCCATGAATTCCAAGGAAGACGAAATCAGGATCAACTGTGTCTAGAGTTTTGAAACTACCAAAATGGTTATGGCAACGTTGTAATAATCCAAAACTATGCAATTGCAGCTTATATGTATGTTAAAATATATGTCATACATATATCTATTTTGTAAAATATAGATCTTTGTACAAAATATCGAAACCATTTTAAATGTCAATAGAAATAAAAATTGATAAAATAACGAAACAATCTTTACACATTTTTGCAAAAAAAAAAAAAATTGGGTATTTAATTTTTTGAATATTCTGTTTCAAATTTTAAATTTTCAAATGGACTACTAAACAACAAATTATGGACTAAAAATCCATTATCCGATAAATCACTTTCTAATCACCGAAAAGATTTGAAGCTATTGAGATGTTTGTGTATCAAACTAAAGAATGAAGAACAAGAAGCTTTTGGACCATTCTCATACACAACAGTGACAAATGCCGATCATAACAAAGAAGGATTAACGTATAAAATCAATAAAAATGGAACCCAATCCGAATGAATTCAAGGTATAGACCTCTTTGACAAATGTAACTTAGAGCAGATCTCAAACCGCAAGACCAAATGATCATCAATACAATGCAGCAATACCAGAAACAGCCATGGAGATCAAAGCCAAACCTCCAAAGCTGGCAGCTTTCTGCCCCGAATTCTTGTGTGAGGACTTGGGAGAAGAAGCGGAGGCGTTTTCCGCCGAGTCAGCGGAAGGAGCATCCGCCGGGCTGCTGACAACGGGAGCGGGAGCTGGAGCGGGCATCGGGGGAATGTCGGTACCAAAGATCGCTTCGGGGAGAAGCACGCGGTTCACTTGGTAAACAGCCACGGGCTCGGTTGAGTAAACGCTACTGCTGACCTTAGTCTTGGTCCAGCCAGAGTCGAGTTGGACGGTTCCTGAGACGTCAGTGAAGTTCAAAGTGTACTGACCGCCGGCGAAAGTGCTGACAGAACCCGTTTGGCTGAGGTTCTTGAAGTCGGAAAGCGAGTAGTAATGAGGGAGGGCGTGGAAGAGGAGGAGTTGCTTGAGCTGGTCCTGAGTGAGATTGGAAAGAGAAGGGTTCTTCATGTTCTTGAAGGCGTCGTCTTTAGGGACAAAGACGGTGACGCCTTCATCGGTGTTGTTGGCTTGGTTTTGGAATGTGTCGATGACTTTGGTGGAGAGGAGATAGTCGAGGAAAGTGTGGAATGGACCGGCAACACTGAGTAGCTCGGTCAGGTTGACGTGGTGAGGAGCCGGTGCTGGTGCAGGGGCAGGTGTCGGGGGCAGGGTCGGGGCCGGAGGGCTCCGGGTCTTGGCGAAGGTAAAAGATGAGCTAAAGAGAATCATGAAATAGAAAATGATGGAAAAGATGGAAACTTTATCCATCTTCTATGATCTTTAGCTCTGAATTCTCACCCTCTATATGTCCTGCATACAGAAACAGAACCCAAATGTGAAATCTTTGAATCACTTACACCAAATGCACAAAACCCAGAACCCTAATTTGATCAAAGATCAAATCTTTTCCAAGATCCCAGAAAACCCAGCAAGAGAAGTGCATGCCTAAATGCCAGATCTCGATCTGATGGATCTGTTTCAAGGATTGAGAACTATCGAGCTTTTGTTTAAAGCAATTAACATTGAAGAGAATTTACTGAGCACATGATCCAGAAAGGAAACACCCGAAGCAAGAGATTGCAGATGAACAGAGATGGTAAACCAAATTGACTACGCAGTAAATTTACCAGATCTAAAAACACACTTTCGGTCAATACCCATATCTCCGAATTACCAAAGATGGAGACTTTGTCGGAGAATTAAGAAAGTCACATAAAAATTTTAAAAATAAAAACAAAAATCCCCATCCTAAGTGTGTTGAATTTATGTTTCAGAACCAATATATACAGAGATATAGAGAGAGAGTGACACTAGAAGCTTTAACGACAACAGAGTGGCATAGAATCTCGCACAAAAACACAAGCTAAATAAAGAAAACCTAGATCTAGATCAGACAAAACCACGAACTCGAAACAATATTAGCTTTGGAAACAGCAAGAGAATGCAGATTTGTGCAGTCAATGCCGTTTCTAGACTGTATCAAAATGTAACAAGGAGAGAGAGAGAGAGAGAGAGAGAGAGAGAGAGAGAGAGAGACCTGAGCTAATGGCGAATGAAGCGAGAGCTGGAGAAGGCAGAGGAAGAAGCGAGGGTATTTAAAGACAAGACATTTACAAGTAAAAAAAAAAGACAGGCTGTTCTGTTCATATGATTAAGCAGTGTTGGTTCCTCATCCGCACCGGCTGGTTTTTATTCTGGTGATCAAGTAAAAAAAATATAATATAATTCCATTTTGTCATTTTTTTAAATTCAAGCTATAACATTGACTCAAATTTAAGGATTCCATAAAAATTAAAAAAAAACATTTTTTTATAATCGAATATCATGAATGGAAATCTGTAATAAAGTGAATTTCCTATTGATTTGGTCGCAATGACATTTTTTCTTGTTTATAATATAGTATTTATGGTGTTTATGGAATAGTAACACAAGTAAAGACAAGACAACAAACACAAACACTTGCAATTCAAATCTCATAATTCTTCAACTTCCCCGGTTACTACTTGTGAATCTCTATCTCAACTTCCCCAGTTGTCACATTTGCATTTTATAATCTCTCTCTCTCTCTATATATATATATATATGTATATACATGTATATACGTGTGTATATGTATTTGTGTGTATGGGGCGATTAGTGAATTTGGATAGACATAATAAATCAGCATTTTTTAAATTTTTTTAAATGTATTTTTTTTTAATAATCAAGTATTCTATATCTAGATCCACATTAATGAGTCAAATGACCAAATATATGATTTGGAATATAGATCCTTTTTCAAATTTAAAATTCAAACTCGAAACGGAACAGACTTTTACATCTCGTTTCACCGGTTAAACTAATCAAGTTTGGTTTTTTTTTAAATGTAAGCTTTCTGCAAAATTGTATTTTTTTCATGGATAAAAAGGGCAAGAATATTAAAAGTTTGGACGAACATTTAATGTTGTTGTGTTGATAACAAATATATTAAAGAAAACACGAGTTCTACCGTAGACAGATACAACATGATTCTTGTCTCTAAGTATAAATGATTCCTAAAATATTATATGCATACATATATATACTAGATCAGATTTGGTATACTAGTAGCAAGTAGCAACCCTAAGAGATTAGCCCATTAAAGGTATTTAAATTATTTTTGCGAATGTACAGATAGTTTGATTTGAATACATTTAATGAAAAAACTTCTGTATTTGTTTTTTGTAAAAACTATACAGAAATTAATATTCACAACCTAAATATTTGTCAGTGAGCCCAAGAATAATAACTTTGAAATCTTAGTAAATTAATTACAAAGTTTAAATACGAAATCATCAAACTAGAAATTGGGAATAACTAAATATATTAATAGAGATTGGCATTGCGGTTTCGGATTCTATTCGACCTTTTATTTTTTACTTTTGTAAAAAACTATACACATATTTTTTTTATTGACTTTTCGTTTAGTTAGAATTCCCTTGCAATTGACTACATGTTCCAAATTACTCTTTTTCTTTAAAAAAAAAATTTTGTTCCATATTTCAATTATTTCTATTCTAATTTGATTGGTATTAAAATTAATTTGAATATGATTATGTATTATTTTATTGGATAAATGTTTATGTATAAATATTAGTCCATTCAAAAATAACTTTTTTATTTCCAAAAACTTGTTGGCAAGAGATTGAGTAGGTGAAGATGTGATTTGACAATTAAAAAACATTATCAACATCAACTTCATTACACAGTTTTTTATTTCTAGAATAATTTTCATAAATAATGAATTAGAACCGTTTTACAAGGGACCAAAAAAACATTAAAAAAATAAGAATTTCTATATACATATATATATATATATATATATATATATATATATATATTTTAAAATTTGGGAGAAACTTTAAAGCAAAGAGGACCACCACCGCAAAGGAGTAAGGTGAGATTTCTTAATCAGCTTTCAAACAGATTTATCTTCTCACTCAATCTTGGACTCACCAACCTTATGGTATACAAGCAAAAAATAAATAAATTGTGGCAAGTATTTTAACCAAAATTACATACGCTAATTCTTAAAATAATAATCAAATATATTATATGAGAATTTAGCAATAATATATATGAAAAAAGTTAATTAATTGCTTGATACATTTGTTTTTATCATATTCCTCTTGTATTTTATTTCTAAGGATTCCATTAGTAAAGACAATTTATTTTTACATACGAGGAAGCATTTGGTTGGTATGTATATATTTATAAATAAATAAATAAATCGACATCATGACTGCTGTTAGGATCAACATTTGATCGACATGATTGGGGTATCCAAAATCAGTATCTAAAATCATAGGGAAACAAATAGAATAATACATTATTATAATTCAATTGATTATTAACTACCATCCAATCTTTTCATTTTAATTCGATGCTTTCTGATATACAAAACAAAACTTAAGCGATTGAATAATATACAAAGTAAAAAATAGATTGATTCATTTTAATATGAATATATGAATTTGTTATCAATTCTCACGTTAATATACAAATTTTAAAATTTCACAATACATAAAAAATTTTCTAATTCCCGTTTAAAATCATAAATTTTACAAATATTCCGGAAAAAACTAAATGATATTTACCTTCGTTTTTATTTGATATGCAATTTTTTAGAATCTTTATAAAATTTATGTATTTTTTTAGAATTTTTGTAAAATTTATTATATTAATTAGAAATAGTACAAAAATTTGTCTATTTTACTGTAAATTTTAAAATGAAAGCTGATAACAAATAATTACTTATTTATAGGAGACTTTTCCTTGTTAACAAAAATAAAATAGTAACAAAATCGAGGAATAGAATATGAACAAACTCAAATAAAAATGAAACCGGTGTAACATTTTTATAGATCTAAAGTTGGATTTATGATTTTCTATTAGAAGTTGCGACAATGATGGGCCGTACAATGACAATCATATGGGTTGCGAAAGGAATGGTTATGGGCCCATACCCAAACCTCAATTTATTTCATAATTGTGGTTCCTGTGGGCTCTGGCCCATTTTGGCTTTTCCCCTGAACCCAAAATTAATAGTTTTTTTTACTTGGATTTCTCTCTCTTTATTTTCTGTAAAAAATTATTTATATTCTTTTTTTATCTCAATATGTGAAAAATTGTGCAATGATGTCATTAAAAAAACAAAAACAAAAAATAATCATAATTGGGGAGAAAAAGAACATGTTCCTAATATTTTTCAAAGTAAAATACTAGTTTCCGATTAGTGTAAGCTATGCGTCTTGGGGATCTCCCCCAACTCTGTTGGTTTGAGAGCCCACTTTCTGAACAAGAGGTCGTGGGTTCAACACCCAGGGTATGGAGATTTCCCCTCCGGCCACCTTCGGATGCTTCACATCCCACACGTGTGGTGCCGGTTGTGCGTGTGGGTCGGGATTAGTCTGGACCCTTTGGGCCTGAGATTACCCGGTTATCAAAAAAAAAAGCTATGCGTCTTTAAATTTTATATATATAGATATGCACGCACATTTAATAGAGGGTATTAATTTAATTTAATTTAATTTAATGTTATTGTCATTAGCTAACGAGGACAATCCCAAGGCACCCTTGTCGTTGAAAAGTCAAAGGTGGACCACTCCCTTGTTGATTTCGCGTCCCATGGTATACTCTTCCTTCCTTTTTTTTTACTCACTTTATTCGTAGAATTTTTTTTTATAACATGAAAATCCGTAGTCATTATCTTTCCAATGTATAATGTATAAATTTCCATCCTAGTATAATAATCTATAAATCACATGAGAGATATAAATCAGTCTAAATTATCTATAGTTAATAGATTCACAGATAAAAATGGTGAATAGAATAAGTGAATTCGAACCTTCGACTCTTTGATTTAAATCAAAGAGGATAAAACTCAAAGAGGATTTCATTAAAAAACTTTTCATTTTCATATTTCTAAATCGTGCAAATCATCATCATTTTCGCAACGTCGCTCATTTTCGCATATTAATATTATATATATATATATATATATATATATATATACATATATGGTACCCAAATTTGATGACTTAGCGGTGAGAGAACATGCAAAGTATGTTCTCATCCTGGATTCAAACCCAATCGTGGAGAGGGATATTCACATGGACTTCTCTGGTCCTCTGGAAGATGTAGTCGGACCAAAGACCCGGTGAATTTCCGGAATATCAATATATATATATATATGGTCATCATGTAGCAATTTAGGTATGAAAATTTTTTTCTAGTAAAATATCTGGATATGAAATTATTTGTTGGGGTTGAGTTAATCTTGTTTTCTTCTAATCAAATGTCCTAACTTTATACATAAATTTTGTTTGAATATCTATTTTTTTTTATATATTCGCATGCGGCCGAATAGTTGGTTTAGTATTCTTACCTAATATGTCTTAGTAGCCCCATCAACATTCTTTTACGTATATAACAAAGTTTAGGATTACGGTAACGCAAGTGTAATTAATGATCATATTAAAAATCTAAATAATAAATTCGAATTTTAAAATTAATATTTTGATTTTGCATGCAATTAATTATATATAATAAAGAAATTAAAAGAAGCATTTAAGGCAAAAGGAAATTAAAGTCAACAAGGAACAGCCCTTCGGGCGCAGTGCGTGGCTGTCTTGTTTTCACATACTAAAGAAAAAACAAAAACGGAAATTCGTAAATTAAAACAAGACTGCGAGTGATTAATTGAAATTAATTTGGGGAATAACGATGACAAAATAATGTTTATCATTCCTATCGATTTGAAATCGTTGGTCCAACTTATCCATATAACACGGGGGAAATTTTGGTTGAAAATAATGTTCTACGACTTTGTAATTAACTACTATATAGTACTTCCTTTGATTATATAGGAAAACTCATAAAATTATTTATGGATATTAGAAAAAAATTGACCAAAAATATTTATTGATATTTTCAAGAAAATTCTAAGATTCTAAAATTAGGTTAACATATCTATAAAAAAAATCATAAATTTTTCGAATATGCAGTATTCTCTCTCTTTTTTTTTACTACGAGTTTCATTTAAATTTAATACTTATGACATCATTTTGAACACTTAGACAAAAAAAAATTATATTTCAGTATTGAATAATTTGAAT